CCAGGTGTACGTTTTAAATCCCAGATTTCTGAGTTTGAGCTGAATTCAGTCGTGTTGTTTTCCGTGTGTCGCAGGGAACAGCCCATCTTCAGCACTCGAGCTCATGTGTTCCAGATCGATCCCGCCACCAAACGCACCTGGATCCCGGCCAGCAAGCATGCGGTCACCGTCTCCTTCTTCTACGACGCCAACAGACACGCCTACCGCATCATCAGCGTGGGCGGGACCAAGGTGAGCGAGCGGCTTCTCCGCTTTACCGCTGCAAATGTTGTCTTTATCTTGCGTAATAAAAACAAATAGAAATACAGAGTAGGTAACATACATTTACATTTATGCATTTGAAAGATGTGTTTATAGTGCATATAGTGTATGAAACCTTTTTTAAATGTATTTAATTCAATTCAATTCAAGTTTATTTGTATAGCACTTTTTGCCATACAAATCGTTGCAAAGCAGCTTTACAGAAAATGAAGTTTCTACAATATATTTAGTATATTTACAATACAGATAATTTCAGAGCAACTTAACATTAATAAATAAGCGTTGATTTTGTAAAATTCATAAATTATGAAAAAAATTCAGTGTCTTCTGTAGAGCTGCTTTACAGCTGAAAATAGTGTCATAATTCAGATCAATTTAGATTCAATTTAATTCAATAACAGTGTCAGTGTTGCAAAGGCTATTAATTATGAAACAAACCAGGGTTATTATAATTACCTAAAATTAAAACCATACTGAAGTCAACTGTCATTATTCAGCTCAATCCAGTTCTATAATCCATTGCAACATTCATCAATTATGAAAATAGTGTGATAATATTGCTGAAAATTATTTTGACATTTCGATCTTTTTACAATAATTATTGAGTCAAGAGGGAGGTTGTAGGTGATGTCAATTAATTTTTATTCACACTGGAAATGGAAATTCAATGGAGTGCATTGCATAGTGCGAAACTGTATTGCACTTAATGTTGTTTGCTTGTTTATTGCACATTTTGTCAAATGTGTGTCATCATGCTATTCAGTGCATGTGCATACTGTACTCATGTTGCACAGACTGCACACTAGCAGCGTGCTGTAGGTTTTGCAGAAAGCCTCTCGTGGTTATCAACAGTGCAGCATGCCAGGAAATCCACCCGTAATGCAATAAACATCTCCATCAGCTACAAGCTTTCAGATGGTGATTATTGAGTGCATGTGATTAGAGCTGAACGAAATACTCCCCGCGAGAGGATTTATGCTGGAGTGAAGGTTAAGAGCTCAACACCTGATATCAGAGCGAACAAGAGGAGCGTTGAGTGCAGGAAGACTCCCGCATCGGTGCGGAGCTGCATGACTTGCATCCTGTCGGGATAATCGATACTCGTTGATGGAGCGAATCAGAGCTGTCTAACCACTCGACCGGAGACGCTGATCGAAGAGTGGAGCGCTCAGGAGGAAAGACAGCAGCTCACAGACGACCTTGAGTCACTACCATAGTCTCACAGAAACTGTTTGCAGATTGTTCTGGGCAAGCCCCGCCCACTTAGACAGCATCTGATTGACATGTGAAGTGACCAATGACAGCTTGTTTTGCTTTTATGTGCTGTTCGGGTTAATATAGAGGCTTGTTTCTGACACAGGGTAAAAGATATTTAAAAAAATAAAAAAAGGTCATTGCAACTTTATCTCACAATTCCATAAACATAGAATTGTGAGATATAAACTCAGAATTGCGAAAAAGTTTATATCTCACAATTCTGAGTTTATATCTCGCAGTTTTGAACACAGTTTGGTCTTTTCTTCTCAGAATTGCAAATGTATATAAGTATATTTATATAAATTGTGAGACATAAACTCCCAATTGCGAAAAAGTTATAATTGTGAGATAAAAAGTTGCTATTAATTTTCTTTATTTGATAATCTGTTCTGGAAAAAAAAACAATTGCGAGATGTAAACTCAGAATTGTAAGGAAAAAAGTCGGAATTCTGTTTATATCTGGCGTCTGAGTTTATATCTTGCAATTCGGAATTCAGAATTGCAAGATGTAAAGTCCGAATTTTGAGAATTACATTACCTTTGTTTTTATTCCGTGGAGGAAATGGGCTTCTAGAGGTTTGGAATAATCGAAGAAAAAATGGTTTTTGAAAAAAAGTTTCTACTGCTCCCCAAGGCTAAATTTATTTGATTAAAATTCCAGTGAAAACAGTAATATTGTGAAATATTATTACAATTCAAAATAACACTCTTCTACATGAATATCTGTTCAAATGTAATTTATTTCTGTGATGCACAGCTGAATTTTCAGCATCATTACTCCAGTCTTCAGTGTCACATGATCCTTCAGAATTCATTCTAATATGCTGATATATAAGAAACATTTCTGATTATTATCAATGTTGAAAACAGTAGTGCTGCCCAATATTTTGTGGAAACAGTGATACATTTTATTTTTCATGATACTTTGATGAATAGAAAGTTCAAAAGAACAGCATTTATTTGAAACAGAAATCTTTTGTAACATCATAAACGTCTTTACTGTTACTTTTGATCAATTTAATGCGTCCTTGATGAATAAAAGTATTAATTTCTTTCGTTCCCCAAACTTTTGAGCAGTAGTGTGTGTGTTTGTGAGGAAACTGCTGATTGAATAAATGAACACACACACACACACACACACACATTCAAATTGTTTTGCTCTTTTAATATTGCTCTATGAATGCACTGTGGTTCATGGCTGTGTTATTCGGATGTTTATCAGAAGCAGAAACGCTCGCTGTCTGTCTGCCGTCCTTCTCAAGGAGTCTGAAAATGAAAAGAGGCCCAATAATATCGCAGGCATTTGTTTGGCTAAAGAATATGGTGCTGTTTTGTATCTTGATACTCATGAATATGATCCAGAGTTTCCTTTAGTCTGATGAAAAATACAGTAATATTGTGAAATATTATTACAATTTCAAATAGCTGCTTTCTATATGAATGTATTATTGATGAAAAATACAGTAATATTGTGAAATATTATTACAATTTCAAATGGCTGCTTTCTATATGAATGTATTATTAAATGTCATTTATTTCTGTGATGCGCAGCTGAATTTTCAGCATCATTTCTCCAGTCTTCAGAGTCACATGATCCTTCAGAAATCATTCTAATATGTGTATTTTTACTGTAAACAAACACATCTCATGCATTGGTATTTAACTTCACCTCTCTTTTGAGTTGTTTGAGATGCTCTTTTTTTTAGTTTAGAAAAATATTTATATAGTTATTTTTTCATTCAGCATGGACACATTAAATCAATTAAGAGTGACAGTATTTATAAAGACAAATACATATACATCTTTTTAAATATAGAATCATCTTTGCTGCTGTATATTTTATATGAACTGTTTTATAAATTTAGTATCTTAACTGTCAGTGTGTGTGTGTGTGTATAAATATATATAATTTTAAGAAATTAAAATTTTTATTGTTCAGCTAGGATGCATTAAATTAAACAAAATGATCAAAATCGTCAGAGAATCCTGAAAAATAATGTCTATATTCAATATATTAAAGTTTGTAACTTGAAAGTGTTGTAGTAAAGAAATTAATGCTTTTATTCAGCAAGGACTCATTAAATTGATCAAAAGTAACAGTAAAGACGTTTATAATGTTACAAAAGATTTCTATTTCAAATAAATGCTGTTCTTTTGAACGTTCTATTCATCATAGAATCCTGAAAAATAAAATGTATCACGGTTTCTACAAAAATATTGGGCACCACAACTGTTTTCAACATTGATAATAATCAGAAATGTTTCTTGAGCAGCGTATCAGCATATTAGAATGATTTCTGAAGGATCATGTGATACTGAAGACTGGAGTAATGATGCTGAAAATTCAGCTGCGCATCACAGAAATAAATTACATTTTACTTTATTTTCACATAGAAAACAGCTATTTTACATTGTAATAATATTTGAAGATGTTTAAACCGAAGATGGCGCCGACGCTGATGGCTGCCTCCGTGGCGTGCTCCGCAGTTGTTTTTATGTTTTTGTTAGTTCGTCCTGTCTTTAGTTATATCCCTGCAATCAGTTTCACCAGAGACGAATTGCTGGACATTCGGCAGTACACACCACCCGATATTTCACCGTTTGTTCTGTCACTGTCATTCTGTTACACTGTGGAAGCTTCTGTCACGAAAACAAATTCCTCGTATGTGTAAACATACCTGGCAATAAAGCTCATTCTGATTCTGATTCTGATATTTCACAATTTGACTGTTTTTTCAGTATGTTTGATCACAAAAATGTTGAAGATAAAAGACTTAATTTTAAAAACAGAATCATTTATAAGCACCTCTATTGGTCTTTCTAGTTGTATTATTGCTTCATCATTATTAATTAATTAATAATGGCTTGAAGTGTTGTGATCATCTTTGTGCAGCATTATTGGTTTGTTCAGATTTAAAGGGGTCATATGATGCTTTTTTTAAAGATCATTATTTTGTGGGGGGTGTGGCAGAGTCTTAACTTTGATAAAGAATATCTCTTTGGTTGTGAGACTTTAGTCTTTGCAGCTTCAGGGATCTTATCTATTCACGAACAGCTTGTAACACTCCAAAGAGAAAGGAAAACTTGAAATCGCATCATATGACCGACCCCTTTAAAGAAAAAAACATGGTTAATTTTAGATATTTATAAAACATTCAACATGAAGTGTTTATCATCACAGTCCCTCACAGTTATTAGATGTCATGTTTTACACTCTCTCAGGGGTCATAAGAGTGGCTCCAGTCAGACTGTTAACCTGAACGATTGCGGTTTAGGCTTCAGCATTTATTAATGATCTTCTATTTAAAGCTGCATGAAACACTTACACCAGCTTGTGCTACAGTATTCTTCTTCTAACTTCTTTATACACACTCGACTTCAAATACTGTCCCAAACAGCACAACATAATATCAACAGTTTGCATAAACTTGCATAAATCATGTTTACGGTATCGCTCTTTCTTGGTCTATTTGAGGTCAGATGTTGTGGCTAAAAATAGATGTTATTTGAGACGTAATGGTTCTAAATCATCCTGTTGAGGTGGGAATAATCTTTATGTTTTGCTCCACGTAAACAGTGCTTTACAGATATTTGCATTACAAACCTTTCTGGTATTCTTGCACATGTTGCGTAAAAGTTGCCCGATTTTATGATGTTTTTAACTTTAACTTAAAGGGATAGTCCACCCAAAAATGAAAGTTATCATATTTTACTCACTCTCATGTTGTTTCAAACCTGGATGAGTTTCTTTCTTCTGTTAAACACAAAAAACGGTATTTTAAAGGATGTTGGTAACCAAACAGTTCATGGTAGCCATTGACTTCCATAGTATTTTTTTTCCATACTATGGAAGTCAATGGGTACCGTCAACTATTTAAATTTTTCACAATTAATATTCTGGTTTTGTGTTCTTTTAAATGGGTGCTTATTCAGAATTTTCTGCGATTGATGTCCTCTCTTTTGGCAGGCGATCATCAACAGCATAGTCAGCCCCAACATGACGTTCACTAAGACATCTCAGAAGTTCGGTCAGTGGGCAGACAGCAGAGCAAACACCGTCTATGGCCTCGGATTCGCCACGGAGCAGCAGCTGCACCAGGTGTGAACGTCAGGACAATAATGTCTTTAAAGGAGATCTATCATGCCCCTTTTTACAATATGTAATATAAGTCTCAGGTGTCCCCAGAATGTGTCTGTGAAGTTTCAGCTCAAAATATCCCACAGATCATTTATTACATCATTTTGAAGATGCATATTGAGTGAAAGCAGAAACACGCTGTTTTCGTGCATGTCTCTTTAAATGCAAATGAGCTGCTGCTCCCCGCCCCCTTTTCCAGAATTTGACTGTGCCTTTACAGCTCGTGCCTCGGATATTCTGCTAAAAAAACATCTGTTTGGTTTTGATTATCATGTCTATCGCTTAAATCATGCATTTTAAACCATATTAGTTTAAACTTCTGATATGCAGTTTTCTGAGCGCACACATCCGAAGCGAACGCACAGAAAGCGGCTGTCACACGGCATGTGAGTACTCTTTCATGTCTTATTGCGCTTAAACTGTCAAATACACACAAGTTTACGTAAAAAAACCACACATGAGTTACAAAAACACACTCACTCATGTCTGTGAACGTAAACAGCTGGCAAAGAAATCGCATGTTTATATTAGATCTGTGTGGCAGTAACGTAATATACAGTAAATAAATCAATAAATCCACAGCTCTCTTGTCTCCTCTGTGGCTGGGACTCTAAACGGTGTTCTGTGCTCATCTGTGCAGCCGAAGACAGAACAGTTAGCTTGCTTTGCTCGAATGTTCACCATGGCGTTAGATCTGGTACACCGCTTGTGAAAACACAATGGCGGCGCCGTGGGTGGAAACTTGCAGATTAAGGGCGGTAGTATTATAATAATATCCCCTTTCTACATCACGGGGGGGAGTGAAATCTGAGCTTGCAGAGAAAGGCTTAATAAAAAAATTTACTCATTTGTTCTTTCTCACGTTTCCTGGGTTGGAATGATGCACCGGGGACCCGCTTATAGCACTTAAACATGGGAAAAGTCAGATTTTCATGATATGTGACCTTTAATGGCCCATTTATAAAGAAATTACACAATGCATTGTCTCTGTGCAAATACATGAATACAAATTCTTCAAATTAAATTAGGAAGGTGGAAAAAAACAACATAATATAGTTTTACACAGACATGTTTGCACATACTTGCATCACCTCTTATATAATACAGCACTATGTGTTTTTGTTGCAGTTTGCTGAGCGTTTTAAAGAGGTAAAGGAAGCTGTGCGTCTGGCCAGAGAGAAATCACAGGACAAGATGGAGCTGAGCACCGCAGCTCTCAATATCGCAGCGCCTCAGGTGTGACATCATTTATTTTGCATACAATACGTATACATATACAATACATAAACAGGTTGTGCAGGCGCCATTTTTGCCCCCGTATCTTGAATTTGATGACATTTTTGTTCATTTCGCTGGCCTCAGGCACCAGTTAATTACCGAAACTGCTCGCAAGCACCCACAACACCCTAGCAACTGCTTTGAAAAGCCCAAGCAACTGTATAGGAGTGATGAACACCTTATCAACCATATTACTTTGCCCAGGCAATAACTCGCAACACTGGGCAGCTTAGAAACCATACAGAAATGGCCTGGTAACCATTTAGACCACCAAATAAGCTGCATGGCAACACCCTGGCAACCACCCAACATTCTAGAAGACAGGCAGTACATTAAAGCTGCATAGCAACACCCTGGCAACCACCCAACATTCTAGCACCATGGCAATCCATTGAAACTACTGCTTAGCAACCACATAGCAACATCCTATCAACCACTCAGAGCACTTTAGCAGCTGCATAGCAACACCCCGGCAACCCTGTCACTCACAACACATTAGTATCTGCTTAGCAACACCCTGACAACCACCCAACATTCTAACAGCCTGGCAATGCATTAAAGCAGTTCCTTACCAACCATCCTGGCTGCCAAACAACATTCTAGAAGCCTTGTGTTACATTAAGCTGCATAGCAACACTCTGACAACCCCGATACTGACAAAACTTTAGCAGCTGCATAGCAACGTCCTGGCAACCACCCAACATTCTAGAAGCCTGGCAACACATTCCAGCCACTCCTTAGCATACACGTAGCAACATCCTAACAACCACTCACAGCACTGTAGCAGCTGCATAGCAACACCCTAGCAACCACCCAACATTCTAGAACCTGTCAACACATTGCATCCACTCCTTAGAATCCACATAGCAACATCCTAACAACCATTCACAACATTTTAGCAGCTGCATAGCAACGTCTTGGTAACCCTGGCACACACAACACTTTAGCAACTCCCTGGCAACGTCCCATAGCCGCCTAGCTTTACTCGTCTTCCTGTAGTTTCTGCTCTTCATTTGACAGATCTTGTGTGTGTGTGTGTGTGTGTGGCAAGAGAAGTGTTACTGTAATCCTAGAGCAGGTCATTCGTCTCACTGGGAAGTGAGAGGAGAACTAGGACAGTGATAAAATTATCCGGAGCCATCCTGTTCGCTCTCTGCTAGTGTCTGTCTTCTCATATGATGTCAAGCTGCTGGTCTTTTCAGGTCAGCAGGCTGTTGAAGGGCCGTTAGAGAAGCAGACCTTGGCATTCTGACAAGAGCCATTCGTTCTGCTGTTCACACTGAATTCTGCTCAGTCCACTTCAGTTTCGCTTTTGTCTGCATCTGTTCTCGCTACACAGAATCTGAGAGGACTGAATCATGCTTCAGCAGCAGAATGCATTCATCAGTCCTGTTTCAGTGTTAAAGGGTAGTTCACCCAAAAATGAAAATTAGTCCATGTTTCACTCACCCTCAAGGCATCCTAGGTGTATATGACTTTCTTCTTTCAGACGAATCCAATCAGAGTTATATTAAAAATTGTCCTGGCTCTTTTAAGCTTTATAATGGCATGGGTGGTTGTTTTTGTTCAACAGTCCAAAAGTAGTCAAATAAAGTGCATCCATCCATATTAAAACGCGCATCACACGGCTCCGGGCGGTGAATACAGGCCTCCTGTAGCAAATCGATGTGTTTTTGTAAGACAAATATTCATATTTAAAATTATATAAACACCTTTTTCTCACTTCTGCTAACTGTTGTAGGCGGAAGCCGTTCCGGATGGATGACGTAGGACATATGCGTAGTGTAAGCGCTGGTGATTAGTGACGAATGCGGAAGCGCGATGGAGAGAGAACAAAACAAAACGCTGGTCATGAATTAGAAGCACAAAACGAGGATTTGTAAAGAAAAATGTCGGAGGATTTCGATATAAGCCAAGAGGAGACTGGTTTTCCTTTGGTAAAGTAAGGAAACTTTGCTTCCTTTGCTCCTGTAAACACACTCGCATGCGCTGCGCCTACGTCATCCGCCGGAGGATAGCGGAAGTTACACAAAACTGTTTATATCATTTTAAATATGGATTTTTTTTTTTTTTACAAAAACGCTTTATTTGACTACATTTGGACTGTTGAACAAAAACACCCGCCCACGTGCCATGAAACAGCTTGAAAGATCAAAGACAATTTTTTATATATTTTACTCCAACTGGATTCGTCTGAAAGAAGAAAGTCATATACACCTAGGCTGCCTTGAGGGTGAGTAAAACATGGACTAATTTTCATTTTTGGGTGAACTAACCCTTTAAACATTGTTGCATTGACACACAGTTTGGTTATAATCCAGAGTGACACCTGAAATCTAGATACACTCTTAAAAATAAAGGTGCTTTAAAAGGTTCTTCACAGAGATGCCATAGAGGCATAGAAGAACCATTTTTGGTTCTACAAAGAACCTTTCAGTCAAACGTTCTTTAACGAACCATCTCTTTCTTGCCTTTTATCATCTAAAGAACCTTCTTTCACCACAAAGAACCTTTTGTGAAACAGAAAGGTTCTTCAGGTGTTAAAGGTTCTTTATGGAACCATTTAGACAAAAAAGGTTCTTCTATGGCATCGTGAAGCACCTTTATTTTTAAGCGTGTACGATCAAGATTCACAACTGAATTTTGAGCTCAAGTTTAGTTTATTATTACCTAAATGGGATTTTAGGCTTGATTTGGACTGGTGTCAAAGATTTAAGAGTTACTCATTCATACAGACCATAGTTTAGTCTTGCTCCTGTTGTGAGAACGAGACAACGAGAGTTGCAAATACTGTTGTCAATCTCAAACACTGACTGTGAGAATTTATTCAATTGCAATCAAACTGGAGTGACACTTATACTGCACATGCTCAGTAGAGTCCTCTAGGTTGGTGGAAATGAAATGAATGAATGAATGATGCATTTATATAGCGCTTTATTGTGTATTGCTGTACACCCAAAGCACTTTACAATCATGTGGAGGGATCAAAGTGAGGTCATTTCAGCCATAAAATAATTTTGAGGCGTTAAAGTTTCTAATTTTTGAATGTCCTGTATTTTTTCTGCTGTCTGAAGTTTTGATAACATTGAGTTTAATCTCATGTTTGTAGGGTTTCACTGAGGGGAAATTGTAATAGCTATGAAATAAAAATTGTATGACTATTAAAAGACTGCATCTTTAAAATATATTATATACAAGTTTTTTTTTTAATTCAAGTAAAGAAAGGTTTTTTTGATGTTTATAGTAGTGCTGTCAAACAATTAATCGCGATTAATCGCATCCAAAATAAAAGTTTTTGTTTACATAATATATCTGTGTACGGTGTATATTTATTATGTATATATAAATACACACACATACAGTATATATTTTGAAAATATTTACATGTATTTACATGTACATATTTATATTCATATAATTTATGTTATATATAAATATATTTAATATATAAACGTAACATATTTTTCTTAAATGTATACATGCATGGGTGTGTATTTATATATACATAATAAATAAACACAGTACACACAGATATATTATGTAAACAAAATCTTTAATTTTGGATGCGATTAATCGCGATTAATCGTTTGACAGCACTACTATAAACATAAAAAAACCTTTCTTTACTTGAATTTAAAAAAAAAAACTTGTATATAATATATTTTAAAGATGCAGTCTCGCAATAATTTGATCTAATTTTTTATCTATTTGCTTGACACTACATGTTTCTTATCCAAAAGATGGCAGGTAGATTTGTAGAAGTGTGTGAGCAGCATGTAAATGCCACCGCTCTCCCCCACACAAGATAAATGATGGGAATGACTGTATCTCTTATGGTTTTCTCTCAATGCTTTCAATCCGGATGCCGTCAGTTCTCTCAGGTGAGTTTGACATTCTCTCCTGCACACGTCAGCATGAGCGCCGCGGTGTGATTCAGAGTTTTGTGGGAATATAAGCAGCTGCTGTTGATGTAGTAAAGGGGGTTTGTGCTTTATCACACTCTAACACACACGTCACGTGTCCCTCGAGCTCCACAATCAGCTGACTCCCACAGTCAACCCTGGAGCATCATCTGCCACTGCCGGAGCAAAATCAGGTCATTTTCACACGAGACCGAGACAGACGGGCTTCAACTTCACCAGAAACCAATCATATTTCATACCTGTGAATGATGAAATGAAGGAAAATGACCAAGTGGGAATAATGACTTACAATGACAACTAAAAACTGGTTTATTGCTGGTCTATTTGTAATGATAGAATTCTGCTAATTATGGTGAATTTGCTCACCTTTTATTATTACAAGACTGAGAATGTCCTTGTTATGCATTTCACACTTACCTGCTGAAATCTGGGTCACCCATCAGCAGTGCCATTTGTGCTTGAAAATATGTATTTTTTTAATCATTTCGTTTAAAAACATTAGTAATGAACTTTAAAGAAATCATGGTTCCCCAGCTTTTATTTATTTATATATATATATATATATACACACACACACAACGGACCGGAGGACAAGCTCTTCCGGAGCCAGAGCGCTGACATTACTCTGTCCTCAGAGAAGGAGCGCATTAAGAAGATGCTCTCAGAGGGGTAAGACGTCTGACTACACATCCGCCTTCACACATTTGTGGGGAAATATTGGAAAAGGAAGAGTGTAACAGCCATTTATCACATTATAATGGGCCTTTTCCTGCATGAAAGAGCCCATAAAATGCCCCTAAATTCAGCTTTCTGAGCGCCAACAATTACATGTGAGTTGTTGTAGCAACTGTTCTGAACACCTTAGCAACTGCATAGCAACCGCCTCCAGCACACTTGCATCTTGGCGCCGAATTTCATTGACATTTCTGCATTTTTGGTTCGGCTGAATCAGTTTTGAAGGGCTGAAATCATTAAACAAAGCAATGATTTTTAATTAGAGCAAGAAATAAACATGAATGAACATCGGAAAGTGCTAAAAGAGACAGTACAACTTACTGAAATGTATAATCTTTCATGTAATCACTCAATCAGTGTTTCAACCACAGAAAGACGTCAATAAAACAGCTCTTTGTAATGTCACATTTACCTCAGGAAAGTAATTTAACATCCATAAACTTATTTATCTAGAAAAATAACTCTAGAGAGGAGTATATATGCACTATATTACATATTCGTTATATTTTTAACCTCTTGTCTTCATTATACACCACGTGAAAGTGAACCCTGAGCGGTGAACTAATTTTCGGCAGCCGAAATTTCGGTGCATCTCTAATTATTGGCGACATCAGAAATGGATATTATACAATAGATGCTTTTCTGAACATTTTAGCAATTTAAAAATATTAAAAAAGGATTTTTTACACGGCACCCCTGCTCTCGACAGACTGCACCCCGGTTGGGAAACACTGATTTAATGTATGTTTGATAAGAATAAATCTGTCATGAAAATTTGTTTTATTACAGCCACTGTTGAAATGTTTAGAATTCAACAACAAATTGGAGCAGAAACATAATTATATAATTAAAAAACTGCCTTTTGTGCAATTTAAATGTTCAGTGTTGATTAAATAAATAAATTTGATTAATTAAATGATTTTTAAATAAACTTTATTTTTGGTTTTAGTTTTCAGCTGAATAAAATGGTGTTATTTTATATCTTTGAGTTACTATTATAGTTTTATTAATATTTTGAATCAGTGTTTAATTTTAGATTTTCTGTTTTTATTTTAATATTAGTTAAAGTTTTAGTGATTTTGTTGTGGGGGGTTTTTTTGGTCATTTTTTGTGTCTATATACAGTAGTTTTTATTATTTTTTATTTTAGTTTTAGTTAAGTTAAACTAAAACATCAAGTTAAACTAAATAAAAATAAGAATTGTAGATTTGGCAAGTAGCTAAAAGTGTTTTATATTTTATTTTATTTCGGTTAACATTTATTTTATTTAAAATAACTTTTTTTAATGGTTAGAATTTTAGATTTAGTTTTACATACCTATAATAACCCTGAAATGAAAACTTAGATTTTTTACAGAAACAAGAAACCAAAATAAATTTCAGTACATCACTAGCAAGCACCACTCACATTTTGTTTGCAAACAGAAAGATTTTTACATTTTACATAGAATTTTTATTTTTTTATTTTATTTTATTTTTGGTGGTTTTCTATTCGTGAAGCAGCTCGTCTGACACATTGAGGAGAGACGCTGTACTGATCTGCCATTAGTCTGACGAGTAAGAAACACACACACACACACAGGAATCAGCATGTCCTTTCATTCTCAGCCGTTTGCTCTTGTGTTCAGTCATCACAGGTCTCTTTTCTAACAGGGTTGCTATGGAGAGCGTCTGAATAGTTCCTGTAAAAGTAACCAGTGAAGAGCATTTGTGTGTGGTGACGCTCCACTTTATTCCTAAACGCTGCACAGTTTTCTGCAGTCAAAGGAAATTACAGATCAGATGCTGTTCTGAAAACTGGAGTAGTTTGTTTTTTGACATTATTTGTGAGCCAGAATGTGAAAACAATGGTACACATTTGGACAGTTTTAATTTACTCCGTTTTGTTATTTTCTTTGTTGGCCAAAGTGTTATTTTAGTATTATTTATATACTTTTATAGTTTTTATTTTATTTTTATTTTTACATAAAGTTATTTTTTTATTCTTATATTTTCAGTTCAATTTTAGTTGTTGTTTTAATTTTTGTAATTTTATGCTATTTTTTTGTCATTTTTTAAATATATATTTAAATATTATTATATAATATTAAGGTTTAATTAATTTATTTTTATTTCAGCTATAGATTTAGTTTAGTTTTAGTTTTTATTTAATTTAGTTTAATTTTATGTAATTTAATTTAGTCATTTTAGTGCTTCAACTTAAATTTATTTAATCTAGTTGTCAAAGCAATATTTCAAATGTTTGTCTAGTTTTTCATACAATATTTATATTTTATTTTATTTCAGCTTTATTTAAATTAACAAAAATGTTAGTTTTAGTAAGCGATAATAACCCTGATTGGTCAATATCATAAAATGAACTTTGACACCTGGGAAAGCACATTATTTATGTTGTCATGGTGATAATTGTGAATTTAATATACATTAATTAGATTATTCATATTTGGTTTCCATTTTGCTCTTGTTTAACCCTTTATGAAAACATGTTTTCAAAGTGTCCCCCTTTAAAAAATGTACATAAATAAATGCAGTGAATTTTCACATGCTAACGCCAAGTATTAAAATTGCTGTTTTATAGAGTGCACTCTTAAGAATAAAGGTGCTTAAAAGGTTCTTCACAGCGATGCTAAAGAAGAACCATTTTTGGTTCCACAAAGAACCATTCAGTCAAAGGTTCTTTACAGAACCATCTCTTTCTTACTTTTTATAATCTGAAGAACCTTCTTTCGCCACAAAGAAGCTTTTGTCAAACAGAAAGGTTCTCCAGATGTTAAAGGTTCTTTATGGAACCATTTAGACAAAAAGGTTCTTCTATGGCATCGTGAAGCACCTTTATTTTTAAGAGTGTAT